ACTGTGAATAGCCAGGGCAATAATGAGCAAAAAGAGCAATGCTGGAGGTATCACAAATACCCGACTTCAAACTATATTATAGAATCATTGCAATAAAAACAAGATGATACTGGCACAAAAACAGATATAAAGACCAGTGGAGGAGAATAGACGACCTGGATATGAATCCACACAGCTATGCCCACCTTATTTTTGACAAAGGCACCCAAAACATATGATGGAGAAAACACAGCCTCTTCAAGAAATGTTGCTGTGAAGACTGGTTATCTGCTTGCAAGAAACTGAAACTAGATAGATGCTTAGGTGAATAATATCCTCTTGGTTCAGTTTTGGATGGTCATCACAAAGCATGGAGGCCAAAAGACAGTGGAACAATGTCTTTAAATTGCTGAAGAAAAACTGCCAATCCTGAATTCTATATCCGGTGAGAATATTCCTCAGGAATGAAGACAAAACAAAGACATTCTCAGATGATAAAACCTAAGAGAATTCATTGACATCTCTAAAGAAAACTCTTCAGAAGCTTAAAGAATGAAGAAAGAAAAACAAATAGTGAATATCTGAGTAAATATAAAAGTCTGTTTTTCTTCTTTTGATTCTTTAAAACATGTTCATCTATTGAAGGCAAATTCGTATGACTGTCTTGTGGTGTGTTTAGTGTAGATGTAGCTATTTAAACTTCAAAAGATCATTGAGGGAGTATGAAATGGTGATAAGGCTTTGCTTTTTAGACATTTATAGCAAAAGTCAGTTGAACTTAGTATAATGCATACACTCATATAACAAACACAACAATCAAGGTACTAAGCAATTCAAAGAAAATGAATGTAATCATCACCCAAAGGCTCCTTCGTGTCCCTTTGTAATTATTTTTTCCTCTCTTCCCTTCCCTCCCACTGATGATATATTACTCTGTCAGTATGGTTTGCATTTTCTAGATTTTATATGAATGAAATCAAGCAGCATGTACCCTTTTTGTCTGGCCTCTTTCACTCAGAATAATTATTTTGAGATGCATTAATGTTGTATGAAAGACATTTTAGTATGCATTAGTGCATTGGATTTCTTTTGGGAATACCAAATTTACTTATAACATTATATATATATTCATGACATAGAAGTTAAAGGTAAAGATTCCAGTGGAAAACATTTGATATAGTATTTGCACACTTTTTGGTACAGAATTGTGGGTATACAGTATTTGGCTAGTAATACAGATGTAGGTGAGAAACTGCCACTTTCTGTGGTACAGCGTGTTTTCATAGAAAAAGCCCAGGATTGGTAGTCAAAAGAACATTATCCTGAATCCATCACTTACTGTCTGAGCAACTATGAGCAAAGTTATTTCACCTCTCTATCCCTTAACTCTCTTATCTTTGAAAACCAGGGTTAATGAAAGCACTTCATATGGCTGTTATGGACATTAAAATGAGATCATATGTGTAAAGCATTGAGCATGGAGGCTAACACGCTAAGCTCTTAGTTTCTTTGGGGAAAGTTCTCATCCTTCAAAAAGAAAAATTTTCTTTGAGCTTAACTGTAATAGCACAGTGCCATCTGGTGACCATATAGAATGATTACATTATCTTTATGGGACACTTCATTTCTAACAAAAATATACATTATGTAAATCCCTAATGTTTTCTGGGTTAGGGTTGTAGGGACAGAGACCCTTCTCCTGGCTAGGAATCCTTTCAGATCAAGAGGCATGACCGAAGCAAAAATGAAAGGAGCTTTGTCCATAGCCTGCCCTAAGATAGGCAACAGGCAGATTGAGTGTAAGCAAATGAGTGAGGTCTCCATGCCCATTTGACTCTGAAGAAGATGCTGGGAGAGAGGAGTTGGTATTTTTCCCTTGTCAGGAGGTCTTCCCTTGAAAGATCTGGCTACTGTAGCTTTGGCCTCAAGTCCAATTTCAGAAGGGTTTCAAAACAGAGTTACCCCAAATACCACCCAATTATCCTGAAATACGGAATAAAACAAGGCATTTCTCCATTCTCCCAACACCCATACTTCCAAGAGCTCCCAAACATGTCTCAAACCACAGCCACTCTTGCCATCTCTCCAGTGCCATCACTTCAAATCAAGACTAGTCCTTTCATTGAATATAAACTTTATTGTGATTTGACTTGTGTAAGGCAGTGTATTGAAGGCACCATAGAAGTTACACAGACTGGAAAACATGGTAGAAAATGAGTGAGCTAAAAAAATACTACAAAATATATTTTTTAAATGAATGCATGCTTGCTGGACTAGACTAAGTACTACAACTATGTTTCATTTTCATCATTGCAGAAGCATTGAAATATTGTTGGAGGTGGAGATTTGGGGTAGGATTGAGAAGGCTTCATGGAGGAGGTGGCATTTATGCTGGGCCTTGAAAGAAGGGTAGAATACTAATAGATGAAGATGGAGGGAATAACATTTTATAATGGTTGACTCTAGGGAAAATTCGGTAGAAGTACTGAAAAACAAGAAGGCAGACAAACACCCCAGGGAGTGAAGCTTACCAACTGAGGGAAAAGACTGAGGAGTCTGGGCTGGGAACCAAAGTCTCAAGCTCCCCAATGGAGTCTTCAGAACCAATGACGTTAGGAGGCACAGGACAACAGGCTTGTTTGTAAACCTAACAGCAGCAAGAGGTTTCACATTGCAGTCAGGGGCGCCAAACTGGCTGTACTATTCCTGGATGAATTCATCTTTTTGGCATGTGTGACACTCAATTCATCCTTGCTCTTTCCCACTGACTGTCTGAATGGTAGTTCATGCACGCCTATCTGCGTGTGTGTGAGTGTAGGTGTGTGTGTGGATGGGTGGGGGACCGAGGCTTTGTCTCCCACTGCAGCTTCTTTTCCACTTTTCCCTCTTGTGGCATACAGCTGGCTTCCACTGAGCTGGAACTCAAGACCCTTCCCACCATCCAGGCCTCACTGAACTCCAGCTCTTGATTAAGCACCTAGGAAGCTTCCTCAACATGAAGGTAAAACTTACTGTGGGGGGTGACTTGGGTTAGGGCAGGACTACACTTTCCGGAGGTGATGGTGGTGGTGGTGATGGTGGTGGTGGTGGCAGTGGAGTGGAAAAGGCTGGGGACTGTAAAATCAGTCCTGGCTGCTAGGTATTTTGAAATGCTGCTACTGAGTCTGTAGTGTCAGTTAGGAGCAGGGATGTTAGGCTAGACCAGCTTGACCTTAATCACCCCTTCTCCTTCCTTGACATGCCCTGCAGGAGAGATGTATTGGGCAACTGAAAACAGCATCTGTAGGGTGTCCAGGCTCTTGTTATTGTCCTGCTTGAATCTCACCCCCGGAAGCCTCAAATATCTTTTCTTGGCAAACATGTATAATCTCCAGATAGGACTGTCACCTCCCCCTGTCCAGCTGCTGGAGGTATATAGGTTATGTAGCTGCTTTGCTACTTGGATTGGGAGGTATGGGAAACTTATCAGAAGAGAAGAAAAGTTAATTGTTATGAATTTCTGTCTTCCAATGATCATGAATCTTAGCTAAGACCTGGCACCTGACATAGAATAAAAGGATGGACAATTCTGTCAGGATTCTCTGGGATTGGTGATTTAGAGCTCTGTGAGATCATCGCTGGAAATAACCTTGAAGCTGATGTGGCCTTGCTTGACCTTGGCAGTTGGACCACCCTTCTTCCGCAGGTACAGAGACTTCAGATCACGGCAGTCTCTGGGGTCAGCATCCAGAGTAACCTGCCCCAAGAACTGATCGCAGAATTTTCGGCTGTTCCAAACCTGAAGAGACAAGTCAAGGGAGTGAAGATGAGCAGCCATCTGTGAGACTAGGATGAGCGCAGTGACATCAAGAACTTAAAACGAAGAGACCACTCTGTCCGTTCCTGATAGCTCTTTGAGAAGAGAATATCTCAAAGAATATAGATGAAAAGCCAGAAAGCAGAGCTCAAGATCCTCTTTTTTTAAATTTAGGATTCATTGATGAGTCAAGATCATCCTCGACTTGTGTGATAGTTATCTAAAGGCAGCCGGTCAGAAGTATTAAGTCAGAAATACTACCTACCTACATGGGTCCATCCTGACCTATCAATGTATGGTTCATCTGAACCCTCACAGGATTTTACAGTACATGTGTTCACAAGTCTACTGGTGAGCATGTCAGTTTCTGCCTACAATGTAGTAAATGCAACAGATTTAAGGTGAAGATGAATAAGGAAGTCAGTGCCTTTGTTTAGTGAGAAGTATTTTTGAGTACAAAATAAGCAAAAAACAGGATAACCCCTGCTCTGTCTCCTAAACATTCTTGATACCCTTGGGAAGCCTAGTATTTCATAGAGATTATGAGCCCCCTTAAGAGCCCCTGTTCACACAATTACCTGGACTATAATAGGAATGTCAGTGGTCCGTCTGTAGAAAATGGCCTGGGTATCAAAAATTGCATGTACAGTATTCTTCTGGACAGGGGAACGGACTTCCTCCTTTCCACACTTGATGACCAAATATGGGTTTACAGCTGGAACAAAATGACATTTGTTTTAGCATAGTGATTAAAGTTCCCTTTCTAGGTAGGCAAGAAGATATCTCATGAAGTCAAATCTGAGGTAGTCAAATCAGTATAATGCTGGAGCACCAGAATCACCTAAGACTCAACACTATTGTTTATTCTTCCTTTGCCTCCTCCATGTTTCATATAAGAATATAAAAAACATATAGACCTTGTTCAAAGAACTCATTCTCTACCATGGTTGATATCCATCCTGACTTCTCTAGACTGAAAATACCATTGGAAAGAATAATTTCTCATCATCTTTTTAAACCATATGTACAATAAGTGAAACTGGATTTTTTCTTTCCCAGACAGCCCTGCGGTTCTTACTTTCATTGGCATACTTCTTCTCCAGGCCCTCAGCACTGTGAACAGTGATCTGAGTAACAACTTTTGGGTAGCCACGAGCTAGGTTCCAACAAGACATCTTGGGCATGTCCAAGGTCAGTTCTCTAGAACATTAAAAAAAGATATGTCATTTCATGATGACCATCCTTTGATAAGATGAGCCTGCTAAAGCAGACATCATTGCTGAAAGGGATGAGACACTGGGTAACATATCTCATTCCTCCTCAGATGTAGCTTGCATTTTACAAGTATGGTTTCATTTCCTCTGGCTTGAAGGATTAGCAAATAAAGATCATAGCAGGTAGGGCTACTTGGGTAAAAAGGTACCATTGGTGACCCAGCACTGAGAATATAGTAGAGGAGTACTGGGAAGTGGTCCTGTTAAGAAAAGAGAATCAACCAGAGAATAGAAAATAAAACATATGTGAAAGAGCTTAGGCTACAGGCCTGTTCCTATTAAATGGCAGCTAGGGGACTGAAGCTTAGACTTCCACTGGGGAATTTCTCATACTCCCACTTTGAGAAATATTTTCAGAACCATCATTTCAATTAGTTAGGTCTGGTTTGAACAAGTTGTCCCATCGAGTGTATAGATAAATGAAAATGGGTAAAAAGGTTTAGAGTCGGAAGCAAGTAAGAGAACAAGAGTTTGAAGGGTTTGCCAAGGAAACTGAACCTGAGCTGGACAGGCACTTCAGAGAAGATTCTCAGTAGAAACTCGCTGGTGCGGCCATGCTGGAACATGGTTGGGACAAGTACATAGTTGCCCTTTTTCAGGTACTTGCTCAGGAACACAGTGCGGGTGTCAATATAGGTGGAAGTCCCAGCACGCTCCTGGATGTAGAGGTGGTGGAGGCGGAATCTGCGGTTCATCTCCACCTAGAAATAAAACTGGAATGAAGTACCCCATTCTGTTCAAATCATAGTTTTTATCTTTCAAGATGCTAGGTTTTCAGTTTTCTTTATTCTTTCATATTCATAATTCCCTTAACTCTAAACCATCCTAATTTAGACTCTGATAGCCTTTATTAACTCTGCTCCAAATGCTTGTTCTTACCTTGAAGAGCTCAAAGCCAATAATGTAATTGTCAGGTCTTCCCATTCGGCGGTAAGTGCGTAAGTCCTTCTGTTGTAGTGACATGATGACCTTGTGCCCATCCTCAGGCACAGTGAAGATGTACTAATGGAAAGAGAACACCAGAAATCTGAGTTTGCCCCATGATTTCAGATAAGCTAGCACATATATCAGGGAATAAAGCTCTACATTGGAAAGCAGAACTTTGAGCTTATTTTTGGGATTTTCTATTGACCATTGAGGCCTTGGATAACTCACTCACTTGCTAAGTGTAGATCATTACACATGCTTCTGTCTATGGTGTCTGGCATGTACTGAGAGACAACTTCATTTTCAGGCCTTTGATACCAAAGAGGATGTGCTTTGTTTTAGTAAGTTCCTGATGAGTTATTGATTACTATTATTTCTATTGTCGCCGTGTTTTTCAAAGATATGTAGAGAAAAATTCCAGAATTCATAAAGACTGAAAAAATTCTTATTCCACTCAGCCAGATACTAAAGCATTGCCCTGGGATGGCACAATGTCAAACCAGACAAGTGGTTTGTGGAAAGCTGGATCTACTTCACTGAAGAATTTATGCATTCTTACCACCACTTTAAGGTAGTTTTAGGCATGTGCCAGAGTTTTCCAAACTTCATCTGGGGAATCATGGTGCTATTGGGAGATAAAAGTTAAAAAGCACCAGAGTTTTTCTTCCTCCTTTTCTGTCTCACCAAAACAAATGTGAACCCAAGGCCTCCAAAAGTCAATCCCATGCATATGCACACAGAGAAGCCTTTTTCCCAGTTTAGCATATGTGCCTGATGCTTGGAACATTTCCAGAGTTGTAAGTAGAGGTAAGGTTGGTGAAGGTCAATGGGAGCCTTCATTTCATTAGGGATAACTAAGACAGAAGGGTGTAAGAAAACTGAGTTAAGTAAATCAGCACACCAAAATCTTGATCAATGGAAAGAAGAGACATACTCATGGCTAGTGAGGCAGCAATATAGTCAGAACTCTTGTCTCCTATGGGTTAGTGCATTAGCTTATTCTCTCCAGGTCATTATAAATCCAGCCTTTAAAAATTTGGATTTTTAAAATATTGGGTATGTCTGGGTTTGACCACTGATGTGTCACCTGGCATTTTAATGGCAGGTTGGTGGAACTGAGATGTTGACAGGACAATGACTCAAATCCTAAGAAAAATGACCTGGAATAAGAAAGAGGGGGTGAATTTGATCAACATACAATATATGCATACTGAGAATGCCATGATGAAGTCCCTTACTATATACAACTTAATATATGTTAATAAACATGACTCAGTTCTAGAAGGGGGAGGGGAGGCATAATGATGGAGTTCAGAAGAGTCACCTCTATGAGAAAGAGGACAAATAACAGTAAATGTGCATCCAAGGAAACAGTTGGGCAGCAAAGACAAATGAAAAAGAATTGAGACAGCATCTGGAAGAAGATCCTCTGTCCAGTGTGGGGCCATCACAAGGAAGCCAGTGTTAAGACTGGTACCAAGCACTCTGGACAGGAGAGAGGCATCCTGAGAAGGTGACTCATATTTAATAATGTTGTTAGGGTATGTCTCTGCAAAGAGACATAGTCTGCTGTGCTTTACAACCATCTGAGTCGATCCCTAGGGATCCTGGTTGGTGAATATTGCACAATAGATGCAAATGGAAGAGTTGATGCTAAAGAAATACTCCAAAGAGGACCAAAGCAAGACCTGGGTTCCTGTCAGCTGGATCAGTTGACTCTAACCTGGGGATTCTGCAGGAAGGTATCTCGGTTGTTATAGCAGCCTCCTGAACGGTTCATTAGAGGATCATCATCCACAGTCCAGCATCCCAGCACCGATTCCAGTTCCTTGCGGCCAAAAACAGGATTGCTCACATTGCGGCACACATTCAGCTTGTGAAAGTTGCGGCAAAAATCTTCTAAGCTCATCCTGAATTAAAGGAGTGCAGGACAGAAATGAAGATGGCACTTAATACTTAACCTTATGTCGATCCGGGTAGAATCCATAATTCCTTTAATGCAGAAAATCTCTCCTCACCAAAACTCTCCATCATCAGACATAACAAGCCCCAGGTTCTTGCGATCTGCTACAGTCAATTGCTGCCATTCTTCAGAACTAAAGGCAAATAAGAATAGAAGGATAAGCCATTATGCTCACCATTGACTTCTCAGAGAAAGCAGGGTGGCAAAGGGACAGAGTGCATGAGGTCAGGCCTGCTTTATCTGACCACTGGCTGAGTCATGCCTGAGACCCCATGCCTGTCACTGAGCATTGAAAGTCACTAGCAGTCTAGAGGGATAGGTTTGGGAGAACTACAGAGCTTGGGAGATGGAGCAGTGGAAGTTTAATGCCACTCACATTTCACTCCAGGGGCCACTCCATTCCTGTCTTCCCAGGGGGTTCCTCAGGCGAACCATATACAGCTTCTCAGCACTGAAGACGTCCACTAGTCTTTCTCCAAGGCGGATCTTGCGAATATCAGTCATGGTGTAGGTATGGCCCTTCAGTAGACCCCAGTCAGTTTCCACTTCTTGTTCCTCCTGACTTGGAGACTGAGAGCAAACAAAGATACATAAGAGTATTAGAATTGGAAACCCAAGTCCTAGCTCCCCTTCTCCCTTTATTAGTTTAGTCTAGTGTGGTTGAAGCTAGCTCTCCCTCTGCTAGGTAGAAATTTGATCCTGACACCTAGCCTGTCACAAAAGCAAGTGAAGGAGAGGAAATAAAGAATGCAATATAACAACTCACTTCAATAATTCAGATTCAAACTATCCACTGTGGTATATTGATGAACTGTTATAAAATTTGGGGAAGATTCACTCCTTGAGCATAACTTCAATATCCAGGAAGTGAGACAAAAGGAATAATTTAGCAGAGGGTATTTATACCAGCTCCTCTATTGTATTGGCTCCCAGTGGAATGACTGCCTCAAAAGGATAAAAAATGAAAGCTCCCCAGTCTCCATGCTTGGGCTGTATGCCTGTTAGCCTTTTGAGCTCCATTAATGGCTTTTCATGAATCTCTGGGTTAAGGGCAATGTTCCCTACTAAATTTTGTAATCTCTAGTGCCAGCAGTGAGCATAGAGTGGTTGTTTTTGGTGAACACACCTCAATGGAACAGCAGATCAGACCTCCTTTGGCGAATGTTTTGTACAGTTCTCCGAACAGCTTGTACTTTTCCTCAACAAGCTCAGTGTATCTTCCCTTCTGCATGTCAACAGTCTCAGCCAGTGTGCCCGTGAAGTCCACAATGATGTCAGTGATGGTCAAACCATCCAGGGCCTCATAACAGCCTAGTAGTCTAGAGGCAAATACACAAGGATATCTTTGTAAAAATTATTTTTCAAGGTCAAGAACATCATGTTGCCAAGAATTAGAACAGCCCCTGCTCAGCCTTTACCAGCTCACTTTTCGGTAGCTATAAAATGAGAGATATTTTGAGATTATAGTCAGAGATTTCCAGGCACAGGTTATGTTGGTCAATGATACTCCACACAGAGCCAGGCATAGATTACATGCCTGTAATCCCAGATACTAGGGAAGTGGAGGTAGGAGGTTCAAGGTCCATAGCCAGCCTGAGCAAATTTAACACGAGACCTTATCTCAAAAACAAAGTAAAAAGCAAAAGAGCTGGGGGCATGGTAGAGTGCTAGTCTACCAAGTGTGAGACCCTGAGTTTAATCCTCAGTACTGCAAAACAAAGATAGTCCATGCAGGAACTTCTTTCTACTAACCAATATTACACAAGGAAAATAGAAGGTGATAATTCCGTGTGATATGGAAATTAACAAAAGGAAGGATACCTAGGAGACCTAGGGGCAGGTAAGGATTTACTGGAAATCAGAACAGCTGATTTCCCTCTCATTTAAGATTTCTGAGTGCTGGCACAGACCCAAAGAAATGTCACAAATCTGACTGAGATCCAACCCGATTTTAACTCTGGGGTTGAGCTGGGAGAGAATGAGCTCCCAAGGACAAATGTGGCTTTCCTTTCTCATGTACCCTAACCACAGACTAGTTAACCCCCAACTTACTTTGCATAAGCTTTTTCTAGTAGAGCATTCCAAAACTCATTCATGGAGGTGGAGAAGGAGAAAACCAGATCTCCATTGATGGTGGGCAGCAAATCATCAATCACCACCTCAGTCCATTCTCCAAAATGCCAGAAACGGAAGCGAAATATTCCAGCATATTTATCTGGCTTTCGAGGGTCCCATTCCTGTTCCTTATGGTTGGGAATTGTCTGGAAAGGTAAGAACATTCAGCTAAGTGCTATTCCCCCCAGACACTGAAATCACAATGAACTCCTAGCAAAACCATATAGCAAAAGGAAGCATTCCAAATACACCTGCTGTGAATCTAGATCGGAAAGTCCAAGGTAGGGCATTTTGTCCAAAATGTCTCATTCCCCAGTTTAGTTTTGCTAAGGATAATATTACCATGCCTGCCCTGAATACAGGATGACTGGGACAGCCAATCAGGAACTTTCTACAGATAATCAATCATAAACTAGATGAGGAGAAATGGAGGACTCAAATATATTCATGATTGCATGTTTAAACATACAAACATAGAATTCTAAAAAGTAAACCCAATCAAAATACAACTCCCACTGTAGTGGGAAAGAATTCATGTGGATTCTATAAAATGTAGGTTTTTTTCACATGATGAATAAGGTTATACTTAAGAAATTCTCCTTTTAGGGCCTGGGGGCATGGCTCAAGTGGCAGAGTGCCTAGCAAATGTGAGACTTGGAGTTCAAACCCCAGTACCACCAAAAAAATTTCTCTTTTTATATAACAATTTCACATTCATAGTCTAGAAGTGTTTTTATGAGGAAAATGCTCTTTGTCTCAACTCGAATGTTCCAAATATTTCGTTGTTTTGAATTCTACCTGAATATCAAAGGCATTTTTGCACTATTAGTAATTTATTAGAACCTTTTCAAGGATCTTTTCCCATCTTTCTCAACTTTTGTATTTTGCATGTATATGTTAATGACTTCCTGGTTCTTACTGGCGCTACACCTCAAAGGTACAGACAATATGAGTATGAAGGAATACTGAGTCTAAGCACTGCGAATTACAATAAAAGATCAAGTAGTATATGTGATGAAACAAGTAGAGTAACTTGTTAATGGCAGAATCTAGATGTACATGGGTGTTCAGTGTAAAATTCAGCTTTTCTATGTTTGTGAAAACATTTATAATGAAATGGAGGGAAGTCACCTAGTTAATACCTCTAGCTTTGGGACCTAAACAATCTATGAAAATTATGAACTCATTTTTCCTAAAGCGATTAAAGAAAACAAGATAGTAGAAATGGAATGAGGTTTCGCAGAAGGGAGAATACCTTCGTCCAGTGAGACTCCTGAACAGCCAAACAGGAAAATGCAGGGACCATCAACTTGTGCCCCAGTCTCCCTTGGATCAGCTGATGGTTGCTGATGTTTCCCACAATCAGACGGGGATCATCACAGATGTCCTGTGGAAACAAGCATTGGTTATGTAAAAGACTGGAAAGAGTTTCCAAAGAGTCACTGTGAACTGAGCTAGGCAGAAGAGCCTTCATAGAGGAGACAGGGCTAGGGTTGAAGGTAGCTAGGATTTTCATAGATGAAACAAAAGGAATGTTGAAGGGATTGTTGGGAAAAACACAAAGCAGTGGATCATTTAGCTATAGGAAAAGCATCGCATGGGGAAATAAATAAAGACATGGAAGGAGAGGATGCAATGAGATAGGATGAATGATATGTGTTGGTGGAGATTCCTTTACCATTGGAATTAGAAAAATTTTAGCTACACCAGTGAACTTTGAAAGATGAGAACTAAGAGTTATCACATTACATTCTGATCCCGTTTTGTCAGGATGGGATTTTTCTGAAGCACCTGTGCTTGGAAGGGTGATTGCATTTAAAAGACAAGGTCTGATAGAGGTGAACTTAATTAATGCACCTGCCTCTCCAGGAAAATGAGTTAGGAGGCCTTATAGGAAGCCCTTTTCTAACACAACGCAAGGCAACAGCAGTCTCCATGGCAACCAGATCTATATCATCTTTGGATGGATATAGATGACAGCAGCATTAACAGCAGGTATTAATGGACCAGGCACAGGAGCACTTCAATAGATGCTCTTCACACAGTAGATATCCCAAAGGGATCTGAGCAGAAAAAGGGGGCAGTATTTATTTTCAGTGTTTGTGTGTGTTCACTCCAACATATCATTAGCTGTGTCATTCCCACTGTGAGTAGGAAAAATGAGACTCAAATAATATACTTATGATAAAATGTGATGAGTGGATGATGGAGCTATTTTCATTTTGAAATATAATCAATGCCTAAAGGAAGGATCCCCCAAAGTTCCCCTGGTGGTAGTCAAAATAGATACTTAGTGGTGGTAGTGCTTGCGTTGACTAGAGTTAGACTATTGGACAAGGGAGAGAGGGACAACAGGTAGAGAGACAAACATGGGCAAAGGCAAAGCAGCATACGTGATACCATAGAATTGCAGTCGTGATTGTGTGATTCAGAGTATCAGCACTTGCAAAGTTCAAAGGCAGGAAATACCAATGAAGTATCAATCTTGATAGATGGAGAAAGCTTCTTGGATGAGGCAGCTGGCCGGTACCTTGACATTCTGCTTACCCAGCAGAAATAAATCCTAGTCTCAAATGGAAAGAAAATCTAGACATATACCCTTTTAAAATTATTAAATAGAGACAGCTATATTTTTCTGGTCCTTCAACCCTCTTTTTTTTAATGGATATAATTCTCCTTGACGAAGTCTGGTCTACAGAATGAAACATTCCATATATTCTTTAAAAGCCAAAATAACTCTGGAAAGGAATAGGCATTCTGGGCAGGGACAAGTCCAAACTGAAGATTAATTGGGCATCTCTCTGCCAAAAGGAGATGGTTAGATGGGTTGTCTGCTTTGGATTTTCTGATCTTTTTTCAAAGATACATGTCCGGTGTCTAATCACTACTTTTTGTCTTAGGGGAAGACTTCTATCTTATTATTTTGTGGGTTGTCATCTGCCCACTTTTGCATTTACTGAACATACAGCAGGTGTGTGGGATGAGTTAGATCCTGATGTTCCTTCTCCTCTCTTTGTTTCTTTGCTTTTTCTAAGATGAAACTAAGCATAGTTTTTCCTGCTTAAGTCAGCTATTACCATTATATTTGGAGCAAGATGTAAAGTGATACAGTGACTTCCTGGATCTAGATGAAACACACTATATTTTCCTGACATGGAAAAATGATAAAGTGAACATTTATATGTGACAAAGTGTGCCTTTAGACTAGTGAGGCAAATTATTTGCTGGTTTTATGTAGAGTTACTAGTGGTTAGAGTTACTTTACAGTGTCTTGAATTTCCACAAGACTCATTTCACAGCAGGAGTCTAGGCCCAGTCAATACTATTGATGTGTCAAATTCTAGTCAAGACATAAAGGGTCACATAAGTGAATAAAAAGGCATACAAACAGGATTCAAATTGAGGAACTGGGTGATTCTTGTCCCATAGACCTGAACTGAATGTGGCTATCATATATCTTATGTGCATTCCTATGTATGTATAATACATATTCCTAGCTGTGTGCAGTCATAGTAGAATACAAATTTAGGCAAACCCCCCTGATTTCCCATTCTCCGTTATTTCCCAGTTTTATGTCTTTACATTTCATATTATTTTATTAATATTATTCATATATATTCATATTATTAAACAATAGATTTTAAAACACAACCAGAGTCATGGGATGTCAAAACAAGAAGAAATTTTAGAGATTATCTGTCAACTTCATTATTGTATACCTGAAGAAATAGGCTCAGAGAGGGTAGTCACTTGTTTCTCTGGCTATCTAGCTAGTTAGTAGGACACCTAGGCCTAAAGTATTTGAGTTTTCATAAGAACATACTATAGAGAAGGAACCTTAAGACCTCGTCTAGTCCACCCTTTGTCTTTAGGCTTATCAATGGCCCTCCATAAAGGGTAATATTTAATATTGTGCAGTTCCCCTGGGACAAAGATGCTACTACTTCTCTCAGTCATCCATCCCAGTGTTGTATGCCCCTTTGCTTAACACTCCATGTTTTTTTCAAAAAAACATTCTTAGCTTTTGGTTTCAAGACAAATATCAACAATGGGCATTGATCTCAATTCAATCCACTAAATGTGAATCAATCTTGTACTATATGTGTGAGCACCATGATGTGGAACATAGGAGACAAATACTTATTAAGCCATGTGGTCTACCTCGTTAAGAAAGGGAAACATTAAAAGACTAGAAAAGCAGCCAAGCGTGAGGGTAATGAAGCCAATACAAATCTAACAGTCAAGTGGACTTTTTGGTGATAACTTGAAAATAATGAAATGTCTGTTTATTGACTTTTCCTGCAGTTTTGGACACACTGGATATCTCCCTGTTGAGGTTAAGAAAGGAAGGCTGGAGAAATTTTTCTGTAACTCAAAGTTGAGATGCAGATTACAGATGGGACATCTCAGTCTGAGCTGTGCTGCAGTAGTAGGAGTGGGGTTGGGGGAGAGGTCACAGCTCACATATTCACAATGTTTGGGTGGCTTGAAAGTAGGGGGAGATGCTGAGTTCCTAATGGCTCCCAGCTGTGTTGGCACAGTTGAAGTGATCCGTGAACTGAGTTGTTTGTCAAGGTAAAATAATTTCTTAGGGGGAAATACACACAATTAGAAAGCTGAACACCGTGAGGAAAGCTGGAATGGTCCCCACATACCTGCACCCCAATGCAAAACCTTCTGTAAGAAAAGCATCTTTTTTGGTGAAATAGTCCTTAGTTGCACATTGAGGAACCTCCTAATTACCTTTGCCTCATCCCCTTTCCCAGAGCCCTCTGGGAAAGGGCTCACAGATCACTCTACATGGCTTCCTTTGCACCAACCACATCCAAATTACTAGCAATTTTTTATGCAGGTTAAATTTGCTGACAATAAGCATTGAGGTCCAGTGTAAACCTCAGGAACCACAATAAAACAAAAAAGTAAATCAGCATCTAGAATAGTGAAAACACTTTAAAAAAGTGCTACATGCAGGATGGAGGCTTGACTCAAGCAGTAAAGTGCATGCTTACCAAATGTAAAGTCCAGAGTTCAAAAACAAAGAAAAGAAAAAAGAAAGTGCTACATGCAATTTGGCAGCTCTGGGGGGCAAGGGGGAGGGGAAGGGGTGTGTTGAGGCCTGTAGTAAGTACACTAGGTCTACTTAGTACCAGGAGACTCAGTCCCATGGCTATTTTGAACTGAATTGCCACTCAGGACTGGAGGGCTTTGTGAGCTGGTCCAAGTACCCATTATCCTTAAAATATTGAACCATCCCAAGATGGGACATTTATAGGTGAACAAGGGTTCAGGATCCGATGTTGCACCAGTCTCTCAGGGAGTCCCTTTTACCTACTGGGAATTTTGATTTCTGTGTGAATATTTTGTCATCAGTAAAACATTCCTTTTTAACTCCTCTAAGGAAACTCAGTATGGAGCCTGCGAATAAAATTGGTAAGTTCAACTTCCGCTTCTAACCTAGAAAATCAAATCATGACATAATGATTTTCTTATTTGAACCTTCAGACTTCTAGTAGGACACTGCAGGTATAGATTCCAAACTGCTTTATTATGAAATTTTTGCATATCTATGCAGTGGAATATTGTTCAGCAATAAGAAGGAACAAACTAACATATGCTACAACAGGGATGATGACGCTGAAAACTTCCTGTGAAGTAAAAGAAGTTACTTAATTTCATGATTGTTTCTTAAGGGGAAAGTCCAGAATAGGGAAATCTCAATAGAAACTGAAAGTACATTAGTGATGGGGGGCGTTGCTCACTGAAAATGTACATGGGGTTCTTATTGGAGTGACGCAACTATTCTAAAATGAGGTTGTGGTAATGTTTGCACAATGCTGTAAATGTACTAAAAATTACTTAAAACAGGTGAAGTTCATGGTATATAAACTGCACTTTAAATAAGACTGAAAAGTGTTTTTTAAATACAGAACTTAAAAGGAACAGTTAGAGAAAGGATATGGGCCTATCTAACTTTCTTTGATGGTATAAACAGTGGAAAACATGTAGGACTACATGTGGAAACAGTGGGAAACATGTAGGGGCATGATCTCTGGGAAAAGAAGAATTTCATAAATAGACTAGGCCCCTACTACTGTACCAATGTGTCACATTTACCAGGTACATGTAAATTTTTATTAGCACAAAGAGAATGGTGTTTTCTTCCTTTACCATTGCCTTGCACAAGTCTGTATATTCTGCTCCTGACATTTCCCCTGGTTAGGCTTTCTCTTCCATTCTTACTACCATCATTTTAACGTAGAATCTCTTCACCCTCCTGTGACAAAGTCATGAAATGCTACCAAGGGGAAGGTATTCCCCAAAAGAAGACTGAACAAAGGCAATAGTAGTAGAGGCAGAATTTAAAACTTGATCAGGAGAGAACCCATTGTGATGATGCATGCCTGTAATCTCAGATTCTTAAGAGGTAGAGGCATGAGGACTGAGAGCATGTACAAAAGTAGTGAGACCTTAAATCAAAAACAAAATATGAACAAAAGGGATGGTTGGGGTGTGTGGCTCAAGTGGTAGAGTGCCTGCCTTGCAAGCATAAGGCCCTGGGTTCAACCCCCAGTACCACAAAACAAAACAAAAAAACTAGACCAAAAGAGCTGACAGAAGATGTTGTGCAGGTGCCTTTTGTTCCCCCACAGCTGGCTGTGTAAATTCCCATCAGGCCTTGCTACATTTTAGTCAGGGATTAGCTGTGTCTGACTCTAAGGCTCTCTTGTAGGTGGATATGAGTCAGTTAGGAAAAAAGCCAGAGTCGCTGGAAGAAGCTGGAGAAGAGATTTCTGTGGGAACTTGGCAGGCATAGTTCAGCCTAAAGTTCCTACCTGCAGTCTTATAATCACAATGCAACTTAGTATAACTCAGGTCTTATTATCTACTAGGACATTTTATGTTGGGTCTCAGGAGAGCAGGAAACTTGAGGAGCCACACTGTCTCAGGCAATATACCTGTGTACCCAGAAAGCACTGGAATGTATGGGCAGATGATCTGTCACTGAACAATTGTAAAACACTCATAATTCCTGCCTATCCAAAGAGGCACCTTAAAACATAGCAAGGAAGTAGAAAGAGGGAAGGAAGGGAACCGACTCTTGCCCCACAAAGGAGTCAAGTTTGTTCAATTATCAGTGATGTCCACAGGTAAGGATGGAAGTTTATGAAGCTAGAAGCTTTCAACATGAGAGAGGAGTGGTAGAACCTGGCAAGTGCAAGGCCCTGGGTTCAATCCGCAGCACCACACAAAAAAAGAAAGGAATAAAAGAAAATACCATGTAAATCATGCTGCCTCCATTTTGGAAACTTCAGAAAATAGCCCTGGTTGAGTGGGAAGCTATGTGGATGCCAAGGTACAAGATGTTCATAAGCTTTCCTGCAAGCGAGTATCTGAACCTTCCCAATGATGAGGTAGGGGAGAGCAACAACCCATCTGCTCTTTCTGAGCCAGTTCAGAGGCCCAGTACTGCTCTCAGCCTTCCTGATGAAAGGCCAGAGAAATTTGACGTGGCTCTTAACCACAGGCTTGGCCTCCATTCTGGCTGGAAAGGAGTCTGCATGTTTTTGAGGCAGCCTTGTTTTATCTCCTGCTCCTCACAAGAGGCCCCTTTCCCAACCATTCCAATCTACAATGATCTCTCCTATTACAAAAACCCTATATGACTTACTGTCTGTATGCCTGAAAATAACATTTGATGTATCAAGAGAAATTTAACTCTTTGATATCCCAATATTCATCTTCCCAAACAGAATGGGAGTTCCTTACCACAGGCCACGATATCTGTGTCTTGCACAGAGCCTGTTATAGAGCAGATGCCCAAAAAATGTTTCTCAAGTGACTCTGCTTTTGGACTTAATAACACTAAGTTCACACAATACTATGGAAAGGGAGAGTATGGGTCAATTAATGGAGGTACAGCATCAACACAGTGAGGAGGAGTGTAAGAACTGTTTGGAAGGAAACTACTTATTTCTGCAAAATGAGGAGACATAATTCTATCTCCTTGACATCATAGCACAGGAAAGTGAAAACTCACATCTGCTTTCAAATCAAACAAGGATTCTAATCTTAGCTTGTTAGAGATCATACCTTGAGCAAATCTTTATCATCTCTCAAAGGCCTAGTCTCATCATCCGTAAACTGTGCATAATATCTGTTCTTTTTTAAACCAAGAAAAAGAATGAAACCAAAGCAATTGTATTGCACCTAACTTACTAAGCCACATTAAATGAGGATGACATGAAATAATGAACAGAAAACTCCACAGTATCTGACCACCCACATTAGGCATGCTGTAAATGTTGATTCCTTTTTCTACCCATCCCTCCTTCGTTCTCTCACTCTCTCTCTTGCTCTGACATTCCGTCACCCTATAAAGGTTTGCTTCAGAGGAAAAAATGGACTATTGTCATGATTAAGCTTTTTTCCTTCCTTGCTAATCCATCTAGAATTAAATTCACAGAATTTGGACAGTGAAGGCAAAGGACAAAGGACTAAGCCAAGAGAGGGAGAATGAAGTGTCTAAAGACAAGCCAGCACAGGAAGCATAAGTCTACTTGGTTCACATCTGGGGAATGGCTTCATGTTGGCTTTGCTGCCCACCAGATCTCCTCCCATCTCCTGCAGGACCTCACTTCCCTCAATCGTTCCTTCTCTCTCCTCTATCTTCAACTTCTTCTTTACTGTTTACTCCTTAGTCTATAAATATGCTCAACATTCTCCTGTTCTTTAAAACGACACCAACCCCATAAACCTCTCTCAATTTTCTGCTTCCTATTCAACTTAAGCCCTACTGACATCCTCTCCATCATGTCCAAGCATCACAAAAGAGTGATGCCCTCATTATCACTATCCATTCATAAGAGTGGCTCCCAGACAATATATCACTATTTTCTTCATGCAGTTTTGCAAAAGACAAAAAAGGTCTTGCCTCTCTGAATACCCAAATACTAGTTAATGAATTCTGCTCCTGTTTCACAGATTTTTATTGCAGGTCAGCAAAGTGATCTGCAGAGATGTCAATAAAGTGGAGACACCAAAAGACAGCAGGGGTCCACTCTTCTTTCTGATGGAGAGAACTCTCAGTCTCATACTTTTGTTGTTGTTGTTGTTTGTGGCCCTGGGGATTGAACCCAGGGCCACTGAGTTCAGTATACCATTGATCTGACTCAGTTCAACACTTCCAATGGTTATCATTCTTTATAAGCAAACACTGAGATGTGTCCTTCAAGTTGCCTAGAAAACAAGTCTTATTATTTCTTGGCACCATCTGGTGATAACCTGCATATACTAAAATAACTCTTGGAACTACATTTAGGAGTTTTAAGCTGCTGAAATTGCAACTAAAAGGTGATAGTTGGCTCTTTAAAGAAAGCAAACATTGAGTTAGCTCCATAATTGTGCACAGAAAGGCACCTCATTAAATAAAATGTCTTCAGGATTTTGTGAAGGTACAAAACTTGAATTTCATAACAGCCCTTCATGACCTATATACCTGATCACTCACACTGGGAAGGAGCCCAGGTAGAATCTCTATCTGTTACCATATCTTATTACACAATGAGCTCTTATTCATGTAGAGCTTGTGGAAGGGTCCTGAGACCTGCTTTGAGACACCACACACAGATGTTCCACAGAGAACTGCAAGTATTAATAGTTGCTATTCATAGGTAGTATAAGAGCTGCAGTTCTATTCAGATGCCACTGGTTAACTGAGGAGTGATACAGGGTGATATCCAAAAAGCGACTAAGAAACCTCCCTCCCCTAATGCGCCATCCATCTCCCTATAGAGTTCATTGTATAAGGAGTTTGTCTCCTCTCTGGTCTGAGATTATCTTGAAGTTGCAACTTTGTAAAGAAGCAAAAGTATAATTATTTTTTTGAGTTCATTTGAAGTTCAAATGAACTTCAAAAAATAATAAGCATAGTATATCTCCTTTTTGTTGTTGTTCTTTTTAAATTGTTAATCTGACAAAATTTGATAAAAATTCAGGTCTCTACAAGCAAAATAAAACCTAGAATACAGATCCATGAAAATTCCCATTTCAAAGTTGTCTCTGTGAAGTGATAGATATGTTAACTAGCTTGATTAGCTTGATTGTGTTGTTTTCCCATGTATAGGTATATCAAAACATCATATTATAGCCCACGAATATATACAATTTTTATTTGTAAATTATACTTCGAAAGAGCTAGAGAGAGAGAGAGAGAGGAAAGGAGGGAAGGAGGAAGGTAGGAAGGGAGGAAAGAAGAAAGGAAGAAAGGAAGGAAGGAAAGAAGAAAGTTGACTTCCAAATTTTTCTATACAGTAGGCCTGCATAGGTGAAATAGTGAGTCAAGTAGAGTTTTAATGGAGGTCAAGGAGGAGACAGAACAAGGGAAAAAAAGAAAGTTACCTGGGGACGTTTCCACACCACCTTTCCCGGAAGCAGTCTATTGTAAAAAAGAGAATCATTCTCAGGCAGAAAGGTTGGGTCACAGAAAAGTCTGTTATCTTTGATGCATTCCTGCTTCAGTTCCTGGTACTTCTGGTTTTTGAAGAGCTTCATAGGAGGACCCATAGTGTCAAAGTATGCCTAGAATGAGAAAAATGGTTGTCTTTAGAAGAAGTTCTCAGGTCTTTCAAGGATTATCTGAAATTACACAAAGGAAAACCTCCCATAGGACTTCCTCCTATGGTTAGGTGCTTCAAATTTGCCTTCAAAGGAAAAGTCACCATTTTCAAAGAAAGAAAGGTCCAGGCTCTGCAAACAAATTAATATGTGGCCTCGAGTAAGTCACCACCTAACCATTTTAGGGCCTCATTTTCTTTATCTGCCAAATGGGGCAATATGGGCAATCTCATTGCCCATCTCACTGGGAAAATCTTATTGGAAAAGCAGACAGATGTGAAGATTGCTAGTTAATTGTGAGTCATTATAACTTAAAGGCCGATCTTCCATTTACAATGGCAAAGAATATTTCAAGGCAAAGTACAATTTTAAATCTGAAGATAAAGGAAAAATCATCACTTTACTATATTCAAGATAAAATGGTGCCCTGAAGAGGCACATGCTGTGCACAAGGGGAGAAGCAGCCTTCTTCAATTGTAACAAGTCTTTCTACACAATTACTTTCTTTTATCATTTAAAGAGCTTTGCATGTTTTACCACTGGCCAAGAAGCCTAATACAAGACACGTAGCTCAGCAGATGGCCTCCAAAGACAAGGAAAGATAGAAAGATTGTATGGTCTTTTTTCTTCAAAGTCTAATACACAATCATTTGCAGACTCCAAAATCAAAAGGCAGACACCAAAATTCAATTACACTAATTTGATGAACTATAGATTCTTATCCCATGGCAATACACTGTTTCTTTCTTTTTTTAAAAAAAAAGAAGAAGAAAACCACTCATGGCTAAACAGAGAGAGAATTAATATAGTGGTTCTTCAGACAATGTCTATCAGAGTGCCCACACTCAAATGTCCTTAACAACTGGTTTTTATGAAGATAATTTGAAAGGCAAATTTGATTTTAAATAGCCTTTGGATGATAATAGAGTTTTCAATGCCTTCACTTGATTCATAAAGACAGATTTGTAATAACTTTAAGGATCTTCTCCAGACATTAGTACATGAAGAGAGGGCTGTGAAATTTTCATGGTGTCAACTATTTCAAAAATATATTTTAAGGATAACTGTATTCTATGAGCACAAGACAGAACAAAAAAACCTGACTAAGGTTCAGAGTGCCAAATAAGAGTACAAAATTTGCAGGATAAAACCCCCAAAATGTTGGCTACAATAGCAGTTTTGAAAGTATCTATGTGGTGTATCTGTGAGGCAGTGGCACTTTTTATAAAAAATATAATATTAGTCTGACCTGTGGGATAGCTCCTTTCATGTCCTTTCCATATCACATTGAAAGGCCTCACTGAAAACAATAATTTAAATTTAATTTTTGCAATGTTGTGGGCAATGTTTTATATATATATACATATACAACATTATGCATTACATATATATATATAAAACATTACATTTTGTGTATATATATATAAAAAAAACATTATGTATCATATATATACAGTAATCATACCCTTCTCTGAATTCAAGGAATAAGAGGCTGAACATAACCAAAAAAAATCAATAGTTTATTTATTGACAATTGCTTTTCAAATTGAGAACTGTAGGGATACACCAAAACACTGAAATGTTTTCCGTTAGTCAGACTTAAGTGAGCTTTCATGTGTTTTAAATATTAGTGTATTTCATTGTATTTGAAAACATGGATGGTATCAGTAGTAATTTTCAGTTAAGCAGCGTCAGAGCCAACCTGAATGTTCCCCAGGCTCCTTTCTGGAGCTTGTTACAAAGGGACACCAATTTTCATGTGTGCTCAAAGTTACAGCCAATGCTACTGTGCCTCCTGCTTTCCCTAGAAGGCTTGGTGGACGGCCAGAGGCTGGGGACCATTAATGAAGGATACTCTGAGGCAATTAGGACATTTAGTTTGCCAGAACCTCCTAGTCCTTGAACATTCTGGTTAAATGGGGGTATTTCCTGCTCTTGGGAAAGCCATGTGCCATCTTAAGTCTCTGTATTCAGTCAAATGGTGAACTCAGCAAAAGGGCCTGCAAAAGAAATTTCTGCTATAAAAAGGGCTGATCTACAGACAGAAGTAGCATCAATTTTAAAAACTCAAGTTAGATTTAAAAAACCAGTATTATCTTGGTAGATTCTTTCAGAAGCTGAATGTATAGCTGATATGGATAGGTCAAATTTTGATAGAATGATTTTTGGGTAAGGGTGCCTGCATTTTGGAGACACACAGTAAATAAGGAACTGCAGGCTATGAGTTTGAACTTTCATTGGAATATGATTATAGTTTCAAGTCATGTCAGACTTACCTAGTAGGATTAATCTGTGTTTCTTACTGAATAGCAAAAACAGTGTCTCGATTTTTTTGTACCTCCATTTTCTCATCAGGGGAGTGCGGTGAGCTACCCTGTGTCCACACCTACTGAGGTGGTTAGTGTGAAAGTAATTTTGAGTAAGTAGAAAGTGCTCCGTGAATGCAAGATACACACTAAAGCCCTTTCTGGGCATAGAGCTGGGCATCTGACCATTGTTCAAGAAATATCTGTTGAACCGATAAATGTGTTAATTAGCAAATCAGTGTTTGTATGGTCATTTCTTGTTTGTAACGTGCATTGTACATTTTAGCTCATATTCTTTTCCTAGCAGCCATGGTTTATAGTCATTGTCTGTGCCCTTCATTTTGTACCTGCAGGAAAGGCAGCTCAGAGAAGTGGCAGCTAGAAACTGGCAGGGCTGATTCAAACTCCAGTCTGTGTGTGTCACGCCAGATTTGGTGTGTGCATCACACCAGACTTCTCTTGGTCACTGTGGTTTTTTAAAGAAAGGGTTTTTTAGCTCAACTGGGGAAACTTTCCAAAGCAAACACGATGCCCAACTTGGAGGCATTCTGCCTAGAATTTATTGCCATGCTAGATGTTGAAAGGCCTCTTTATTTTCATGGTTTGATGATCATGGGAGAATCCAAACCCTTGACATCTGCGGATTCATCAATTAATCCTTGAAAACCTAGCATTTTGTAATCTGGGATTATCATAAACTATTTGCTCTGTCAAGGGAAGACTGTGGAGAAGGGAAATAAATGCTCCTTCCTTACTGTCCCACTGCACCAGATGGTGACAGCGAGGGGAGAACCATTAAGTTAAAGACCACATATTAAGAAAGTCAGTACACAGCATAAAAGCTAGGGCTTTGAGTGTAAGACAGAGAGCTAAGAAGGGTAACCTGAACAGTTATAAAAGGGACCCTCTACCCTGAGGGGTAGTGGCATGGGTGACTGAGGAAGGCAGAGTGTGGGGTAGAGCACTGAGGTAATGGTCTTAGTATTATTTGAATTCAGACCCATTGCCTAGAAAAAAATATGAGGAACATCATGCCTATCAAGGCAAAGGATAGGTCCAGGCCCCGAGTATGGTGACTTGGGAATTTCCAGGGGAAGTTGAGGGAGCCTGCCACGTGGAACACAAAGCTGCAGCTAAGAGAGGGCGCTATTGCTACTGCTGGACCTGAAAGCTTGGGGGAGCTAGGAAAACTCTTAGAGCAAAATTGCTTGCTTCTTTACCTGTGGGTCAGCCTTAGAGAAGAAACCAAATTTTGTTCTAAAAATGTCTGATAAGGGAAATCAGGTCTACAGTTTGGTTCACAAATTCATTTGGGTTTCAGTGAGTGGGAGAGAAAGTGAGGACATTTAAGGGGGAGGGAGAGTATGGCTGGTGGGTATTGTTCTGGGGAGTTTCTCCCTTTGCAATTTCTTGTTTTATAAAAGCAACTAAGAGTTTGGAGCCCAAACTGTGTCCTGGCCTGAGGTAGGCCCGTATTAGATATAATGGGCACCCCTTATCCCCACTGCTGGAAGAAGTGTGCTGAGAGAAATAGGGCTTGGCTAGGAAGAAGTCATAAAAGTCCAGCAGCTAAACATTAGATTAGAGACCAGAGCTTTCCATCTCTACACAAGAGGTCACAGCTTATATCTGTGGGTATGCACCTATCAACTTAAATGTGTCTCATCAGATTCAAAGTACTGGCCAGATATTCTGGGATCAGAAAGGGGCCATAAAGTTCTCCTGATTCAGTCCACGGGCTTTTATGAGTATTTACCTACTCTGCTCAGAGAGAAGACTCTGTTCAAAAAAAATTGAAAGAAAAAAGAAAAAGAGCACACAATTTCTTTTAATTCCATTGAAAAAATAGTATCAAAAACCAAAAGCAATTCAAAATCATGAAAAGAGCACAGGTAGTCAGGATATCAAATTCCCAAGTCCAGCACTTAGTGTACATAACATCTCTGGGTGTTTTGTTTTGTTTTGTTTTTGCAGTGCTGGGGATAGAACTCAGGGCCTTGGTAGGCAAGCACTCTACCACTGAGTTACATCCTCACCCCTAGATAACATCTCTGTCCCTCAGTTTCCCCATGAGTACAATGAGAATATGATTGCGGCCCTGCCTACCTCAGGATGTTATTGAGAAGATCTAATAAAATTAAGTATGTGAGTATACTTTTTAAGTGCTAGAGACAAGGTTAATGTAGGGCAGTAATATTAGGAAATGATCATTTTTAGCAAATCAAATCCCTTTCCTGTCCTTAGGAGAAACTGAGGAAAATTGATCGCATGCTTTAAATAAGACTTTCATTGACATTTAAAAGACCTATAGAAAATGGCCCCATTGCTGTTTTCTCCTCCCTATTCCTCCTCTCCTTTTTGGCTGACTTGCTGTCTTGGCTGAATAAGCCTATCCTATAAGTCTAATTTTACAGTCCTTCGAGAATCTAATTCTGAGTTTTACAGAATTTTATGGGAAGGACTCTTAGAATCCATCTAGTACAACTTTATCCTTTTACTGTAAAGAGACGCAACCAAGGTTACATGATGTCAGAGTCGGCACTAAAACTGGGACCCACTGACTCTTTTAGCCACATTTTTTTAAAAAGTGGTGGTGTGTGTTTGGGGGGGTGTGAAGCAGGCAAACACAAAACTAAAAGAAAGACATTGCTTCTGAAAATTCTCATTGTCCTCTTCTTGCAAGAATGTACTTTAGGAGTTTTGTTTTTTAATTGCAAACTGTCAGAAGGTGAGATGATTTCAAATCAGGACTAATCAAAGAAATACTGTTTGGGGGTCACAAAGGGGCTTTTTCTGCTTTTAATTTAAGGACTGAAAACTCCTAAGGATATGGAAAGTCTGCTTTTTAACCTATTCCTGACCACATAAGTGTTTAGGCTTTTCCCTGGACTGCTAGGGACTCTAAGGGCTAATAAAGAATGCTATTCAAATCTAAAATAATCACACACACTTGCACATTAGCACACATACAGAAATACACACATACCCACTGCCAGAGGAATGAGTTAATTAGCAGTCCCCTAATAATTTTTTGTTTATTCATTCATACTATAAAGTGTCCTTAATTTCACAACAAAGATTAGCAAATGAAGCATTAGCTGAAGCTCAATAAAACATTAATGCAAACCAAGATGCCTTATCCTGAAGCCAGAAGTGAGAGTCAGGACGGTAGAAGTTGTATTTTCCTATGTGCTTTTCACCAAATTTAAGAGTTTTAAATCCTCAGAACCAACTGTTTCCACTATAATGTGCGCAGCTCCTTTTTCCTGCCCCTGCCCAGAACCTGCTATGGTCAAGTAGGTCAGCTAAGCCCCTAAAACAGTGTAGTTGACATGGGAGGTGGAAGACAGAGCCCTAACTGCAAACCAGAATTTAAGCCAAAGCTAGAATCAGGGGGAAACAACACCAGGCCGGGGACTGACAACAGAATAGTCAACATCAACCTGTCACCAGAGCAGGAGGCCCCCCGGCTGTGCAGACAAGGAGTTAAGACAGCCTGGGCGGCCCTCCCTCCTGTTCAACAGTGCACAGCCTGTGCTCTCCAGTGCCTGGGCTCACAGACCTTTTGCACCCAGTGTGGCTCCAAGACTGTGCCTGCATTTTAATAATTTGTCTGTAGATGTGAAGCTGCAAAAACTAGAACAAGCCCTGAAAGTCAGCCAGGGTTCTCCCCCTCACACCCCTCTCCCAGGTTTGCCCTTGCTTACTGAGGATTTACCAGAAGGTGTGCACACGCACACACACATACACACAAAACTGACTACGTATACCCAGAAAAATTTTACTGCCAGACAACCACAATCACTTCCCACACACCCAAAAAACAACCAACCAAAAATTCCCTTAGTTTTGAAGTTTCCAAATGGCTATTAACATGCATATATTTGATTCAAACGAACCATTAAATTATAGATGCGAAGTTTTGATTAAAGTTGAAGTTTCTTCTCTTCTCTAGGCTAAGTTTGTGGATACCCTCTCAACTCACCTGAGTTATCCCAGGAACCTTGCTGCTGCTGCTGCTGCTGCTGCTGCCACTGTTCTTAGCAGGTAACCCCACTAAGTCTGTTTGGTCAGTGCGGCTGAACAAAGATTCTGGCTCTCTTAACCTGAAAACTATTTGGGCTGTACCAAGCTCTGCTCACAGGGGGAGGTGCCTTGTAGCAACTTCAGGAGCTTTTGCCCCGCCCAGCTTTCAGAAACTGATCCTGAGTCATGAGGAAAATCTGGAAGGCGCCCTTGCCAGATGTGCAGACGGGATGCCCATTCCAGATCCACCCACCAGCAAACTGGAAAACCCAGAAAGCCACATTTGAAAGTCCTTTCTATTCCAAGGAGAAGCAGGACTTTCAGAGGGAAGGTATGATAGGATTATGACTTTTCTGTCCCAAGGTTGATACAGCAGACATGGACATTACTGGAGAGAGGACATGGAGAGAAAACTGTTGAAGTGTTAGCAATGTGAGCTGGGCTGCAGACAGGGCCCTCCTGTGCACATCTATCATGGTGATGAAGACTTCAGCACTGAGTGGGAATGAAAGAGCACCTAATGGAATGCAGGAAGAAAAGGTTACTTTTTAAAACAGCAAGTAACATTTGGCCAAGGGAAGAGAGAAGGGAGGTGAATGGAGTTTAATTCCATGGCAGCTGTAAGAAACCTAATTTCTAGAAACCGTGCAATGGAGATTCTGCCAAGCAGTATTAAGCGAAAAGCAGAGCAAATAACTGCTCTGAAAGGACAGCCAAGAGGCTTCAGTGGGGTGTTCAGACCCCTCTAAAAACTATGCTGCACATCCCAGTCAAGGTCCTGCTCCCTTTCCTCTAAGACATTCACTGTGACACTAGTCCAGGAATGTGATTCTCTTGTGGTTTCTTTCATTTCACGTTCACAGACTGTGAAGGCTACATCACCTCATTCACTAGGTCTCCTGACCAGTGTGTTGTTCATCCTTAAATCTGAAATTAATACATAGCTAGTTGAAGATCTAAGAGATGGTGACAGGAAGGAGGGATGGAAGGAGGAAGGAAAGGAGGTATGGAAGAAAGGAAGCGAGGGAGGGAGGATGAGAGAGAGAGAGAGAGAGAGAGAGAGAGAAGCAAGCAAGGTACAGCCTAACAAGAAGTGGAAATGTGCTCTCACACTCTCTGGCCCCATACCAATACTTTCACGAGACAAATCTGAGCATTTCTGTAACTCTCTGAGAACTGCCCCCTTGACATTTCCTTATACTTCCTTCTGTGCCTTCTATGCCAAGATAGAAATCAAGCTAGCATTATGGAGCAAGACAAGATGTCAGAGCTCAGCAGAACTGGGGTTTTAAATACTGTTGCCCAATTCAGCTCAAGAGTGAGAAATTTCTTAAGCAAATATTCCTTAAATATCTCTTTGAAATCAAGGGAGGAGGTTTTGTCTGTGCTTATCTTTAACCTTCTTTTCAATCGCCGTAATTTTTAAGAATGTAATATCTCATAGAATCTGATAATCAGAAAGAAATTTAAAGACCCTATTTACCCTTCTGCTCAGTGCAAAAATATGCTCCTGTTGATCTGGAACACGCTACCAAGCAGTTTATTCCATATTTGGGCATTCCCTAATTAAAATGTCTTCCTTACACTGGGCAAAAAATTAGTTTCACACAAACTAATTCTAATTCTTCTTTCACATGGCAACCATTTAGAGTACCTATCATGAAGTCCTCGATCCTCTGGGATAAACATCCTCAGGTCTTTTAAACCATGCCTCATAAGATATACTTCCCAGATCTTTTGCCACTCCAGTTGTCTTTGCACATAAACCTGCTCAGTGTGTAGCTTGTAGCTTAATTAAAACCCTCTGTGGTTTCTTGCATGAACTGCTATTGTGTGCCTGATCCTGTATTTGTACAACTGACCTGATTTAACCTGGATGCTGGGCTTGTGTTCATCTTCAAAAACTCTTGCTTTGCTTATTTCAATCCGTCCCCTTTCTCAACCTTTTTTTTCTATTATTGCACCCATAAACTGCTTTTTTAGACATTTTCTACCATGTTACTAGACATTTTAATACAACAAACTATATATGCTTGTGTACTGCTTATACATCTATAGTGTATATATGAAAAGTAAAGATTTTTTTTCACTCGAGAACCAATTTTTGTCCTCTTGGGGGAAATATTCTCTATACCACTACATATTTGATCAGCCAGAGTAATAATTGCATCAAATGAGATAGGGTCCAGAACAGAATATTGTTGTGTACTCTTAGAGTCCTTCCCTTATTAACAATCACTTTTAATAAGATTGTTCAAACTTGAAGCAATCCATGCAACTTTTGCTATCACCTAGATCCTTTTTTTTCCACCTTCCCTTTGAGGATATGTATGGCTTTTTCAAATGTCTTTTGCTGAAATCCAGATACGTCTTATCATCTACCCTTCTCAATATCCTTTCAAAAAGGAAATGGGCTTAGTTAGGCATGACTTGCTTTTAGCAAGCTCATGCTTACCCCTAGTGATTTCCGCTCCTTTTCTAAAGCCTCACAAATGACCTGCTTAATAGTGCATTCGATCCTCTTTCAAGGATCAATGCCATGCTCACTGGCCTTCAGTTTGCAAGATCTGTATTTTGTGCCCCAATACCACTACCTACTTTAACTAAAAATTGAAATATTTGTCTGCTTCTTTGCATCTCTCATCTCTCTCCTTTGCCATCATTTCTCAAAGCTTACCAAGACTGGAGCTGTGACCACATCCACAGGTTCTCTCAGTAGCCTTGGATACAATTTGTCTAGGCCTGGAAACTTGAACTCATTGAAGGGAGCTAAGTATGCCCTTATTATCTCCTCATCTATCTTGGACTTTAATTCTCTTTCCAGTTCAAAGATCATGCTCCTGGATGGAGAGGTTAAGTAACTTGCCCATGGACACACACCTAGTACATTGGCAGTGGGATTTAAATCCCACTTTGTCTGACTCTGCAGACTGGTTCTTAACCAGAATATGATAAAATTTTCAAGTACCAAATGGGCAGTATGGGCCACGAGTACGGCAAGTTCCAAAGTGTGAGAGAGTACTTCTAGCAAGAGCATTCGAGGCCAGCTTTGTGAAAAAGGTGAAATTTGAATTGAATCTTAAAGAATGACTTTGATTTCAATAGAAGAAAGAAGTGTGTGTATGTTGGTAGGGGTGATGGTACTCCAGGACAGGGAAATAATAAAGAATGATCAAGCACCTTGCATCCTCCTCATTGTCTACTGCTGATCATTAGGAACACTGAGGCCCACAAATGGTCAAGATATAGCCAGGGCCTTCCAGCCTTCCTTTAAGAACTACTCATTCAAATTCTGTTGTCTGGCAGTTATATGTCCTTGGCAAGTCATGGTCCTCCAGATCTTTGGATTCTATCTCTCATGAAATGGGGAGAATAATAGGCCTATTTTAGGTCCTTGTGAACATTAAATGAGCTATTTAATACATACAAAGTACTTAGAATAGTGCCTTTTTGATTCCTTTTTATGATTAATTTTTGTCTGGATAAAGTGGCCCCTTTTCCTTATCTTAAACTAACTTATCTTAAACTGATAGTGGTAAGAAAGCTTTTGATCCAATAGCCCAGGATTCATGGAACAAATTGTCAGCTACTCTTTCCAAGGTGCTAAAGACCCTGATTATTTCCATTTCCCTGGAGTCTTCACCCTAGTGTTGAGTTCCATCCTTTGTTTTGTCCACCCTCATGCCCAGCCAAATCATTTCTCCCATCTTGGGAATTTTCCATCCCTAGATTATAAAATTGAGTTATCCCATGGGGTGGAATAAAAACTAGCTGTCCCAGGTGTGCCAGTGGTGGTGATGGGGCATCCACTACTGTAGTATGACTCAATAGTGTAGGGCAGTGCCATTTGGTTTTGGTCCGCTAGCTACAGTCCTTGCATCTTTTGAATTTACAATCCTCCAAGGCCAGTAAAAGTGTGAATAGAAGGCAAGAAGAGGATGGACTGTCAACCTACAAACCAAATAGCCTTAGGTCAGTGTGGAGTGGAGTTCAACCAAGACTTTGGGAGAAGGTAAACTGGTTTTATTCCCTGTTGGCCTGGTTAACACAAAACTATGTATCACTGGACCATAAGTAGAACTTTCTTTAATTAGGAGAAGCAATTCATTTGCCTTGTCATTTAAAGGGCTTTAGTTTCTCAACAGTAGGCAAAGAAACTGCCTGTTCCTAGTAATTTAAATGAAGACCTACAGTCGTTGATAATCTCTGACTATATCAAATCCGTACTGCCTCTGCTTGATCATCAAGGCCCTATCTCTATCAAGAGATTGGTTTCCGCCCAGACCAGTTTGGCACTGGTCTAACTGGTCTCTGTATGCCATTTCTCAGGGCTAGACATTTCTAGGAATACAACCACCCCTGGGCTGGTATGGAGATTGGAAACATGGGTCTGGAAAACATTGGGTCAGGGTAATGCTTTAGGTACAAATGTCATCTAAGTATTAGGCATTCATTGTAGCTGAGGAAGAGTCAGCCCCAGAGCATTGAGCACTGTGTACCAGGTTAGAGTGGGCAAAGCCATAGACAGAAGACAAGGAAGTAGAGAATTGAGGTGATCCAGAACTCACAGGTCATGAAGCATTGTGCAAGGTGTGATAGAGCCAAATAATTCAATGCAAAGGTTTAGAACAAAGGCAAAGATCAGGTAATCATTCTCAGTGAGTGTTGGATGTCTGCCATAAATGAACCCTATCCTCACATTTTTGTTCAAGATGTCCCCCTACTGTGACCTTTCCAGCCACCTGTGTCTTGTTATTTTTTGATTCTATAATCTTATTTTCATCATGAAGGCTTCTTCCTCCCTTACTCATCCAACATCTTTGAATCATCATCTCACTTTGAGTCAGTATCAATATCACACAGGGTTCTACTTAATTATTCTCCAAAGTTCCATGTATGCGATTTGATTTCCTCAGACTGAAAACCCTTTGAGGACCACATCTGTGGCTGCTGCACTTCTAAACTCACAGCAGTGTGAAGCCCAGAGCCAGGAACCAGATGAGTGAGCAGTAAATTCTTGACCAAGGATTCTAGAGACACTCAGAATGGAAGTCAGTAGGAACTTAGTAAG